CTACTTTCTACCCTTTTTACTGTTCAAGGGGATACAGAAAGTCTTTTCTCTCTCTCACCACACAGTGGTGTGTAAATCCATTTCATCATACCCTATGACGGAACCTGGTGTCCCTGAAGGGTACATTGTTACAAATCCCATTCATTTAATAGGGGGCTGCCAAGTGCACCGGATTAGATTCAGCAAGAGTGTTTGATACGGACAAATTGAGGAATTACACTATTAGAAGAAAGAATAAGAGAAATTTGCTGAGGAGCAGCAGAGCGAACAATGGCAGATTAAGCCGTGGATAAATTTACAGGGAGGTGACTGGTGAGGTTCGACGAGTCCAGAGGACATTTACAGTTCGACAGGAATTGACCGCGCCATGTTGTAGCACACTGGAGTTCAGGAAGCTATCAAAACATTATGCCAGGGGCTGCCTCACCAACGACCAGAGGAGTAATAAAAGGAAAAGTCAGGGATAAGAGAAGCATGGGAGATGAAAAAAAAGGAAAATAAGTAGGGGATAGGGAGAGAAAAAGAGGGTCAGAGGGAATAAAGATGGGAGCAACGGGGAGAAAGACAGTAGAAAAATCAATAGACTTCTATATGCAGTGTTGCGAACATGCCCTCGCTGTGCTCCAGACAGCCTATCCAAGGTACCCAACAGACAGACTGAACATCCATCCACAGACCCAATCTGACAATTTGCCACCACAGGCTGTCCCTGTCACATGCACACACACACACCACACACACACTCATCGTAAGGGGTCTTCTCCTCCAAATCTAGTGCTCTAATTTGGTTGTGGGCCGGCTGCCGTGTTATTGATGTTGCCAGGGGTCTGATCCATCTTTAGTCTGGACAAGGCTTTAGTCAAGATGACAATAACTCAGAGGCATCCTGTTCCCTGCTTGCCAGAGCATCAGACTGGCATCAGTAATTTAGAGGCTGGATAGATAGCCAATAATACTATATGCCCCTGCGTTGCTTCATCACCCAAGAGGGGCTGGATGTCAGTGCTGCCGAGCCTCCTTGCTGTAAATTTCCATTATAGCTTGCATGTTCTGGACTGGAAATCAATTCTGTAATTTTTACTGTTACAAAACTTTGCGAAATCTCGGGTTGGGATTTGCACAGTATGAAACAAAGAGTTATTACAAAATAAATATAAAATGAAACGTGTGTCCTGCCTTGCAGGGTATGAAATGAGGGATTAAGACATTTCCTGAGTGTGTTTCTGTGTTTGTATTTAATGGTGTGACACTAAAGATAAATTATTGAATTTTTCTCCAGCGTGAACTTGCCTCGCTTGTGCTTCTTTGCTTAGATTCAGCTGGATAATGTGTGTATGTGTGTGTGTGTCTGTGTGTGAACTGCTTTGTGTTGCTTTTAGCTGGAGGCTACCACATTGGGGAATTGCAAAAGGTTCATGTGGAGTTATGTAGCAGTCCAGTGTCTTATCAAAAACGATATACTGCCAAACAGAGCACAGAGGGGCCTGAGCCTGCTCTGATAACAATAAATGACAAAAACGAACAAGGCAAAGATGGAGAGAAGCAATAGAGTCTCTGTAGTTGTGTGTTAGTGTAATCTCTGATCATTGATTAAAAAGATGTATGTACTGATACAGACAGCATTGTTGACAACATGCTTTCTCATCTCTTCTTCTCCAAGAGCCGTCTGTCCTCTTCTGTCTCCATCCTCATGTATGAATGATTGCTGTGACTTCAGCTGCACCAAAAAGCAACAGCTACAAACGACACCAGCGAGGTACTGTGCTTCTTATTCCCTGCCAACTGCAAGGCCAGTTGCACCAATGAAATATGAGCTGGATGGAGAAAACCATCCTCTTGTCCTGACTGATTTCATTAAATGTTGTTATGCAACCCACAGGAGAATGACATGACAACAATTTTATGTAATAAATGACAGAAAATGACCGTCAGACACATAGCTGCATGTTCTGCGAACAAATCAATCTGACATATGTACACATTCACTAAATTAAATGACTGCATAATGGGTCACTCTCAGGCTAGACAGCAAGCACACAGAATATATTAAGTGCACACACTCAGTCTGGAGCAAACAGTGTTTGGTCTTTTGTTATTTGGTCTCCTGTGAGGTGATCTGTTGAGACCATGATCTTATCAAAATGTTCCCTTGTTGCTCTTATTAAATGGATTCAGGTGAGTCCCATGTCTCACAACACACAGTAAACATGAGCACAACTCTCAACAAAGGCAATTGCTATGGGGAAGAAAAAATGACTTATAAATCTCAACAAATGAGCTTCTCTGCAGAAGGTCCAGTAATGCAAAAACAATAAACACAGTAATAGAAAAGTAAAACATACTTTCCTTGTAAAACATACTTTCCTTGTAAAACATCACAATGAAAACTTTTTTTTAACATATTATTACTGATGTACTTCGCAGTTTATGACTTCACAACCATAAGATGCAAAATATATCAACATTTTAAAACAACAGTTGTGAAGCTCTTACTAAAGACTGTTCAATATATATTTAAAGACCTTTTGACAACGCAACCAATAGTTATGAACTTCAACATTTCACAAGCAGAACGCCGCTGTTGAAAGAAAGTCTTACAAAGTCCTGTTTGCAAACCACCTGGAGAACAAAACAAAGATAATATGCTCCAAACGGTATTAGTTTAAGAAAAGATGGATGGAGCTAAAAATAGAGAAATCCAAGAAAGACATATTTTGGAGGGTGGAAAAGTCTTCACCTTTCACTTTCATCACAACAGTCATAAATATAAAACTGGAACTACAAGAAAATGAATTAGATCTACGTAAATGACACATGCTACAATGGCCCAGTCAAAGTTCATATCTTTTTATTTCATTTCATGATTGGGTGTTATTCTGTGTGTGCTGCACTCTTGAGTTTCAAGAACTCCCATTGCTTTAAGTAAAAAAAAGTGTTAAGTTATTTCCCCATTTTATTTGGTTTCTTTACTTAATCTTTAATCTTGTTTTTCATTTATTTCCTGGTTGTTGCGTTATAGCTTCAAAAATGGGCTTAATGCTTTGAATACTGATTTTATCCAGTGTTCATTAAAAAAGTTAACTCTGGAATATAATACAATTTTTGAGAGGAAAATCTTCATAAAAATATTTTGGAGAAAAAATTACATTAACAAAAAAAGAGAAGTTCTTTAAAAATCCCTGTATTTAACATTTGAGCCTGCACATGTTTATTATTAATTAAAATAAATTACGATTTAGATAATTAAATAATTTAATTATTAAATTACTTACTAATAATTTAAACATCGTTTTCTTTTGGCTATAGAAAACAAGGTTCGTTCACTTACTTTGCCACAGCAGTGAGTCCAATTAAAGAAATAAAGGAGAGAAAATCAATGCAAGCGCACAGAGACAAAACCCCCCCAGAATATTCCCGTCATGGTGCACAATGAATGCATGAGAAAAAAATGTTGAGCACCCAAAACTGGGACAGAGTGAACACGAGCAAACTGGAAAATGAGAAGAGACCCCAGTCAATTACAAGTCCCATCTAGTAGTTTGTGTCTGCATTGATTTGTCGGGCACTAGGTTCTCCGTCGCTCCCCAGTTCATCTAATTGCACTCACTCTGACCCACTAATTACTTGCCTAAGACCTAGTTGGTCTCACCTCGCTGCAGTGCCTCGCTGTCTGCAGCTGTCTCCGTAATAGTGTGGGAGTGAGAGAAAGGAAAAGAGAAAGAAGGAGAAGGCTAAAAAAAATAAATAAACTGAGAACCAGGCTTGAATAAAAATCCATTTTAGACAAGGAAGCACAGGGGACTGGCAAAATGAAACAACAGGCGACACAGGGGAGGAAACAAGGGAGTGGATGTTTTAAATTTGAGGCATTTGATGGAAACTCTGAAGTCAGATGGTGTCCATGCAACAATGATAACATCCTGCTGGCGCTTTGATCCTTTGCTTCTCATCAAGGCCCCTACAGACAGTCCCTTCCAGATATCTTCTGTTATTACTTTTTTTTTTGCCACAGATGTTAGACATGTAATTAAAATAAATTTTAATATCAAACAAAATTATGGTTTTATTTATTAAGACAAAACAAAGTTACCCAAAACAACTTGCAATTTTCATCTAGGAACTTTTTCCATGGATTCAATTGTTGCCTCGTTCTTATTTTTGAATATTGAACAGAAGTCAGACCCACCGTGTTTTAAGCGATGTTCTGCGTTCTTTGTGAACTGCACGGTTCCTGTATGATTGTGCATGTACTGTTTGCAGTTATTTTATGACGACCACAAGACTAAAACCTCGGAGATCTTGATTTGTGGCCAAAGGCTTCTACCATCAAATTGCCTCCATATCTAAAGTTATGCCAGTGCTTAGCACCAGTTCTTCGTATTATAGCTATTGGACCAAAAATCTGGTTATTTTTCGGAAAAAAGAGCAACAGCCAAGCAACCAATCAAAACCTAGTGAACTTCAGGTGTAAGTCTGCAACACACATGCACGCATGCAAACAGTCCAAATCCTGCTTTTTCCATTAATAAAACAGCAGATTAGGATAAGAATAAGGCACAACCTGACATTTCATATCTTCCCACTGTTTATTTTTACACCACCTGTCAATGTCAATGGAGGTCAATGTGCCGCGTAGAGTTGCACTAACAGCTGCAGTTTTTCTCTGAATCTATAAAATCTCATTTGTGGCTCAGGGTCCTGGATGGGGGCATGATGTGTTGCTTTTAGAGACCTTGGAGCTTCCTTCATGTGTTAGAAAAGGTTTAATACAAAAGCTGTTCATACATAATTGAGGGAAACACGTGATTTAACAAGGGGTAATTGTTCACAATTGGAGAATATTTAAGAGTGACATCAACGCAAAAATAGATCAATTCAGACAGAGGTAAAACATGTTTCCACAGCAAGGCACTTAAGGAAATTCCTATTGATCAGCAAAATCACTGATAGATGTGACATTATCAATGTGTTCATTTTGTGGTAATATAAAAGGAACTTACCTGATGGAATGAGGCCGAAAGCCCAGTCAGGTACAAGGCTGCCAAACGGGTTGCTTGTGTCCTTGTCCTCTGTAGCCTCTGTCGTTTTGTGTTCCTCTGGCTTGAACTCTGTGGAAGGTGTCCAGACTCTTCCCACAACAAAAGATTCAGTAACTGCAGATCTGGATTCCATTTCTGTCAGGCCAATTTCAGAGTTTATGGCTTCGGTGCTCAATTGAACGACTCCAGTTTGAACTCCTTTAGTAGGCAACAGAGTCACCGAGAGAAGGTTTTGCTGGTCCGGTATACTCATGTTTTCCTGCTTTTCCTGAATCCATGAAATGGAAATAGATGCTTCCTCTGTAGAAGAGGCGTCTGAAGTATTTTCTGAGATAAGGACTGTGGTGGCAGGATATGTTCTGTGTGGCTCTGTGGCCAAAGGCTCCACTGTGGTCACCTCAGAAGATGTCAGAACCTCCAGCCAAGCTGCAGGTGTGGAAGCCATCCCCATTTCTTTACTCTCATCTTGTGTTTGCAAAGAAGATGGCAGAGAGGGCATCCCAGTTGGTCTGTGGACATAAAGTATCTCTCCCTTTGCCTCCTCAGCTGTGTCTGACTCCGTGGCACCCTGAGGAGAGGCAGTGGGTTGATTAACCAGCAGCCACTGAGACAGAGTAGTGTGCTCTCCCACTGTCACAAAACTGTTCGGTTTGGGTGAAGCTTTGGATGTGGGACTTAATTTGACACCACTGCTGGCCCGCGTGTTGACTGTCATTTCAAAGCCAGCCGGAAAGCTGCTTCCATTTCCACTTCCCTCCACGTCTTTCTCTTCTCCTGATACAGCTCTGCCTTTGTCAGTCAAAGCACCTTCCGGATCCCGATCTTTGCCTTCACCTGAATAATTCTCCAGGTTCTCCTGATGAAGGGAGTCGGGCAGCGTCATCAACTCCAGAGGTCCTGCTTTAGATTCTTTTGGCTCCCAAGATTCTTGCTCATCCAGGTAGGCCTCATTTGCAGGACGACCTCGTTTGGGACCATTTTCTGACTTAATCGGCCAATGGAAGTGAGTATTGGAGGTGGAAGCAAGGAAATGGCCTTGCTTGGAACCCTGAATACCAGATTTGTTGACATGTTTGTGAGGTGAGGAATCGTCAATGGAACCAGAAGGAAGAAATTCTGAAAGAAAGAAAGAGACATGGAGAAATGATTAATATGATTAGAAGACTTGGGGTGGTGAGGATCTAAATCTAAGGGTTTGTAATTGCCAATAAAAACAGATCAGTTTTACAATGATTAGAAAATAATTTTTTTATTTAACTAAACTGCCTTTTTAAAATTATAGAAATATAATTTAATGAAGTCTGACTAATGCCAAAGGGAAACGTTTTCTTTAGATATCTCATGACAATTTTGCACAGTTTAACCATCCTTGGTTTCCTTTTCAACACCTCACCATCACTAATTCAAAATGTCTGTTGGAGATGGTTTTTATAAAAGTCTTTTTCATATTAAAAATACAAATTTTTGAAATTGGAATTAGTGTTCATCTTGAGACAAAAGTATAACTGTGAAAGTGGGTAAAGTGTAGCAAAACAACTTAAAATTGACCGCTAAAGAGAGGAGCTACGTTTCAAAGTGACAGAAAAGGATGGAAGAGCAGGATCAGAAAGTTGCGTTTGAACAACCCATTGCTGTTGGCAACGAGGTTTGCTAACATATAAATAAACAAAAATTAACACTGGAATGCAGAAAAGTAAACACGAATATGCAGTAAATGCACACACATCAACACACAGCAAATGAGAGCCTATGCTTAAATGTAATTTCATCTACTGCTCTCTGTCCCTGAGGAGTGTTTTACTCCAAACAGCCTCTTGCTGATATAGAGTTACCTGCTGCAGTGGGGGCCATACGGAAACAAACAGGAGTGTTTGCAACATGATAGTCAAATAATTAGCTCTGCAACCAGCTCCATCTGGGGTCATTTTATTTAGATTAAGTGGTCCACTGTACCTTATCAGCTTACAAGCTTTGAGCTTGACTCTGTCAACACAATCAATAATTCATTCTGTCTGCATGAGTGAGTCATGGCTGGTATGAGGTGGCTTTTTTTAGGGCAGCGCTGCATCTGCATCTGCATGTGTGAGGGGCCGGTGCATGCAGCATTCATCTTCGCTCAGCTCTGTCTCCAGCTTGCTTAACATGTCCTAAAAGTGCAGCGGCACAACAAATTACAGCACGAGCCAGAACATACACAAAGATGTCCATGCATAAAACATTAAACTGGACGTAAATTATTCAGAAGGTGCTCCGTTGCCTTATGCCTAAGTGAGGTTTATGAGTTGCGGGTTCATTACCATAAGAGCCTTGTAGCCAGACATAATTGTCCTATTAATAATCCAAATAGGTAATTACATAGTTTTACTTTGCATGCTGATGGAAGTGGGAATAATTAAACACATTAATCTGGTTTGATCTTCTACGTAATGACCCATGTAATAAATAAAATCTGATGATTTGGTGTAGGTTTGGATGATTTCATGGCATTGTTTAGAGCAGCGGTTAAGTTCATCTATGCTGCTGTAAATCTGTCGGCAGCAGACGAAGAAGAAAGGGAAAAAAAAAAAAAATCAACCCGAAGCAGAAACGCTGCAAAACAAACTTATAATAAGCCCCTTTCAGACTGTAATTGCGTGCTTCCAACTGTAAGTGCTTCTGCCTCGGCTGCGTTCACGCCACTTCACCAGGGTAAGCGGGCTGCAAAAATCTCCTGGGCGAGGCAGACATGATATTAAATTGTGAGAGCAGAGCCTGACAAAGGGAAGAAGGAAAGGGGAACTGGAAACATCGGACCATCTACAGATACGACATCTAATAAAATACACTGAGGACTTATTGCAGGGATCTATGAACCATGTCAGGAGGATCTACATTACATTTTTCAATCGAACCAGTTCAGGCTCAGGGGTGACTGGGCTGATGTGAGACGTATAGTGTATGCGTTGTTTTTTAAAGGGATAATGTGAAATTAACAGAAACAAAGAATTGTCTGATAGTTAAAAAAAGAACACAACTTACAGACTAAAAACAATGTTTGTTAGCCTGCAAGATATACTTTCTTTCAATTTGAGGGCACCAAGCATACCTAAATGGAGCATTTGTTGAATTGGGAGTCATTTTCAAATCTGCTTTTTGAATGAGTCTAGTTTATGACAAAAAAGAGAATTTAACATAAGCTGCATTCCCTTCATTGTGAATTCATCTGGTTTTCAAGCTGTCCAAATATAATCAGTGGCTACTTTCCAGAAAGACATTCTGACCTAGACATTGTCAATTGAATGTCTCCAGAGGGAGATACACATGTGATTGTGAAAATCTGCAAAGTGCTTTTCAAATGGGTGGCATCATGTATTTTCCAGGCACATAGTGGCCTTTTATGACATAGTCAAGTAACTATACATTTTATTTTTAGAAAAATGCAATATATAGCAAGCATAACTTAAAAGAAACTTAACTGGCAATCTGACATCTCAAGTTTTTTGGGTTTTTTTTTTCCCAAATATGCATGCAAAACTCAGAGAAACACCCCATGTATGTTTTTTTTAATGTGTTGAAAATTTGGGCTTCTACCTTCAGGTAAAAGATTCAGCTAAAAAAAATAGACCACTGGATAGCAATCATATTTCATTCAATAGGTGGCTTTCATTTATATTGTTTTCAGTTTTGACGTATTTTTATACTGCTATTGTAGCAAGAACAATGAAAAGTGTATTTGATTTTTTTTTCTGCTATGAAGATGTTATTTGTTTGGCTGAAATGAAGTTTTTAATATTGCATCAAATCAAATATCAACAATACCTATTTTGTGCCAGTAGTTGGCAACAACCTCAACGCTTTAGCGATGAACATTTTGCCAGACTGCATTGCATCCATGGCAAAGCGTTCTACTTAATCAAAAACTCAACATGTCACTTTTAATTGCAAAGGACCGCTGTGATCCAGCAGACATCCTGCAGTGTGCTGTGGCAGAATTAGCCCAACCCTCTGATGAGTCCATAGGAAGGAACCTAAGCTTGGCAGTCTCCCATCACAGCAGCTTCAGAGAGAGAGAAGAAACTCTTCACCTCACAGTGTTTTCTCCATCTTTCTCGTTTCCCCCGATTCCTTGCTGCGGTCTTGTTTGTTCCCCACCCTCTACTGTGATCATTAGCGTCTACCTTCAGAGGAGCCGGGCCCTTAATTGGCTGAGACGTAGATGGAGATTGGAGTGAGCAGAGGCGCAGGCCTGCCTCGGCGTTAATTGGATAAGGCTGTAAATAATGCATGACGACTAAAGCTTGAGCTTTCGTTAATACCTTGATATGGAGTTGCCGGGGGATTTCAGGTAACACAACGGTGAGTATTTATATTAATAAAGCCAGGAACTGTAAGGTGAGAAAAGGAGAGCACTTATTGAATAATTCTTCCCAGCTGTTTGTGTGAAAGCGTTTGCCTTACTCTCTGTCCTCTCCTTTTGTCATGGCTATTTGAAGCCAAGCTGCCTCCCTTCTCCGTGAGGTGTGCTACACCTTCCTCTACAGCTTTTGTGTGTCTCTCCAGTCCATTATCACTACGGTAGAAGTATTCCTTGGTTAGTTTTCGGTTCAGGAATCTTCTAGCTTGTTCAGCGCCTTAGAGAATTAATAATACCTCTTAATCACCTTTTTAACCTAAAATTTCATTTGATTTTTTTTCTCTCAGTTTTGGGTTTTAAACTATGCATGATTTAGATTTCTTTTATGCTCAGAAATAATGCGTGGTGTGTATATTTATTCACCCTCTTCACTCTAATCCACATAAATAAAATGCGACTTTTATGGAATACAATTTCGTTTTTCTTTTTAATGTTTTAAAAGGAGATCATCAGAAATCTGCTCTGCAAAGTCTTATTGTGGATATCTAAGTGACGGTCTGAAGAAGCAAAAAAATGTAAAAGGCTATATATGTGGTAGAGACCCAAGACCCTGAAAAGACCTCACTCATCATAAAACATGCGGGAGACAGCAACATGCTGTGAGGACTCCTTTCTTCTGCAAGGACAGGGAACCTGGTGAGAGTTTATAGGAAGATAGATGGAGCTTAATGCAGAGCAACTCTGGAAGAAAACCTATTAAACACTGGGAGGAAAAAACAAACAAACACTCAGACAGGGTTTCACCTTCCAGCAGGACAACCTTTTACTTTGAGAATTTGTGGCACAACTTGAACCTTAATGATCCCAGACATCCTTCATTCAGTCTGGTTGACTTTGAGCTGTTTTGCAAGAAGAATTTCAGTTTCAACAAGAGCAAAGATGGTAGAGAAACTTGCAGCTGTGTTTCCCCCACACAGACTTATTGAATAAATATCCAATCCTTTGTTCAGGAAATGGGAAAAACGCTGCATACTTTATCCTTCCCACATTAACTCTCAATAAAGACGCAGTAAGCCTGCTGAAATTAGGGTTTTAAAGCATACCAGCTGAAAATAAACTGTTGACCTTTTCTATCCACACATTCCTCAAAGAAGACCTTCATGTGTTTTTTGTTTTGTTTTGTTATTGTTGTTGCTTTTTGGTTAACAAACACCAAAATTCTGTTTGTTTCCTTTTCATTTAATTTATTCACCACATTTAATCTTTTAAGCCCGACGCATCTTTGACTCCGAGGAATAAGCTGCGAGTTTGGATGCAGGTCGGCTTTGTTTTTGAACGAGAGGAATTCAAGCTCGCCAGGCAAACAAAGCGCCGCCAATAGGTTTCTATACAGTACATGGCGCCTCCCTTTTGTTTGTTTGCAATTACAGTTTAATTAAATTTCACGCGACGCCGCAAATTGCCCTGCGGAGGAATACATTACAGGATCCTCGAGGGGAAAGAAATGGAAAGTGTAGCGCAGAGGCCGAGACTGTTTGAAAAGCGGAGACGACAAATAGATCCCGTATTTACCAGCAGCATTTGAATGCGCCACGCCTCCATCCAAAGCCAAACAGTTCCTGTTCCGCTTGAATGCAAGCGAAGCAGCATTGCTTTTTGGGGGCGGGGGTTACAATGGGTTCATATCGGACATGTGGAAATCTCAGATGAGGTCTTACCATTAAACGTGGATTGCAGGTTGTCATTGATCGAGGCGGCTCCTCCGCTCGCGCTGCTGGGCTTTTGCTCGGCATGTTGGATCGAAGGCAGCAGGTTGATGAGAGGCATCAGCTCTTTTTCCTGCTCCGACAGCCCCTTCTCCGAGTTCTGTACTCCACTTTTGGGGCCCCTGAGGGGGAAAGTGCCACTTCTGTGCTCCAGGATGGCATTGTCCATGCTGCCCTTGTTTTCTCCGGGTTTAGGGAGACTCAGGTTTTCTCCCTGCGTTTGGTTCTCTGCGGCTTTTTCCTCAGGCAGTGTGGGCCCCCCCTCTGTCTTGTCGGTCCCTTTGCTCCCCGTCCAGAACTTAAAGGGCCTCATGAGAGTTTTAACAAATTCAGCGAGAAGGCTGTAACTTGCCTGAGGCTGTGGGGTGGAAGAGGCAACGGGGGATAACACCGGCGCGTCTGATCCAAGATCACTGCGACCCAGGCCCTCATGAGCTGGAACCCCGCGGCTCTCTGCACTTTCGAGGTCCGGGAAGCCGGAGGTGCCGTTGCTGCCACCAGAAGCGCCCACCGGGCCGATCGTGGATCCGTTGCGTCTTTCCTCCCACTTTTCCTCGGGCTTCAAGTCGATTAAAACATGCTCTTCGGATGCCTCAGACGACTCGTCGCTTCCGGTTTTGTTCAAGGAAAACCAGTCAGCCCAGGTGGACGCTCGGACGGAGGGGCCCCGTCTCTGGGCCCCCGGTGCTGGTCTCCGAGGCAGGAGCGAAGCCTTCGCCTCAGAGGCCTGGATCGCAGCTGGCTGGTGGGCTGCAACACACAACGTTCACATCAAGCTTCACTGGCTTCATCTGCTGGCTGCACAACACCTGTCATCATAACCAGTGCTGGAGTGAGCGCAACACGTGAAAACGACACGTCTGTTTGAGGCTCCAAAACAAGCGCCTGTCATTTTAAACTAACAAATAGAAATAGGCTTTAATGAGATTCGTCGTAAGTAAAAAAAAAATAGAAATGTTATCAAATAAATCACATTACAATTTAACATCTCACTTTAGCGGGCGTGATTTGTGTGGAATATTAATGCAATCGTGCGGAGGGATTCATCCATCATATGATTGTTTTGACAGATGCGCAGGCGCTCGGTTTCTACGTCGCTCCTGCTCACTTTAAGCGATTTGAGGTAATGCAAATGGTTCACTTTAGCGATGACACTTTGAAAGATGAAACTGACATTTTTCTTCATCTACGGAAATGTCAGTCTCGAAAATGAAGCCGGTACATTTTGTAGTCGGCGCAAGATGACGAACCAATGCGGGGCCATAAAATTAGAAGCAATAAATCAGTGAGCGAGCTGAAGTGCATTGGGATCAATGTGACAATAAAACTGTGACTTTGTCACATCACAAACCACAAGCAGTGACTTTGGGCGGATTTTGAGTTTCAGATTACATCGAGTAGTGCATATTTGAAAAGGTGATGGAAAAGAATATACATGTTTTTAAAATTATTTTTCTTTTCATTTTCACAAAAGTCAAAGGCCTGCCATTCATTTGCATTCAGCACTGCTGAGTTAATCCTCTACATCTATTCTCCAGAAAGTCTCCTCTCGATTTTCACATTTAGCAACGTAAACTTTTGCCTATTCTGTTTTGCAAAATAACTTTATCCCCATCAAATTGGATGGCAAAGCAAAGCGGGATATCATTTTCTCAATTATTGCCAAGAATATTCTATTAAATTTAGGTCTGCACTTTGTCTGGTCCATATGCATTGATCCAAACCATCCTCTAAAAGCCATGTTCTAGCTGCATCTACTTGTTGTGTTTCTTGAACTTATGTCATAGTCTTAAGTCTTTTGCATAATATTAAGTCAGCCTTGCCATGTGTTTCTCTTCATTCCCTCAATGAAACATGGGGCGTTCAGTGTGAAATGTTCGTCTACTCCCTGCAGCTCCTCAGATGATCAACGCTCAATATGTTTTTTTTTAATCATCTAACATCTAACCTTTCATTCAATTTCAGTTAAAAATGTAGCAGTAAATATAGTAAATAATTAGGACTAAAGTATTAGAAGTGAGTGAATACAAATGAACGTTTTGATTTTGTTTAAAAGGGAAAAAAAAGTCACAATTATGTGCTAGAATGTTGCGGTTACGACGTGACAAAATGTGGACCAGCTCAAAAGATGTGGATAGTGTTTTTTGTAAATTCTTCAACTTTCGTCTGACTCATATTGAAACGACAACGTCAGCCAGAAATTAATCTTCTTTGTTCTCATCTGTCTTTCGTCTGCAACCAACACACCAGCTCTCAAGTCCATCAGGAGGAACACAAACGTCACAGGCTTTCCTCCAACTCCGTCATGTGTGACACACACGCTTAGTGCTAATTAAAAATCTGAAGGGAAATCAAGTCCCGAGACCTCGCAGTTATTGCTATGGCAATCATCCAAACAATTTCACATTGACTTTATCAGGCACCAGAGAGCTCTCGGTACCTCTGAAGCAGAAGGCGTCGAGGAGGGCGGTGGTGTCCGGGAAGCCGGTGCGGTTTGGGTTGTTGTAGACCGTCCGCACCCCGGGCTCGTCTCCGCCACAGTTCTTTCGTGGGACGTTGATGGGGTAACGGACGCTGCCGTCGGCCAGCCAGCCGGGATCACACTGGTCAAGACCAGCCTGCCAAGCCAAGTAGAGCTGCCCGACGGTGGCCAGTTGGGCTCCCAGAGAGTGGCAGTGGGTGGAGGCGGCGGCCAGGCTCAGTTTCTCTGGCACCGTGGAGTGGAACACTTCACCTGGAGGTGGAGACGTGTTTTGACAGGTTTCATGGCTGGTTGAGCTTCATAAATACTTTTGAGTTTGTAGATTTTATGATGAAAAAGTAAATGCTTTTAACTCATGAACTGTAGCACCAGCTTGTGCCCTCGTTTCACATTTTTCACAATCAAATATCAAGACAAAGTGAAACAAAATGACGGAGAACCAATTAAAAATGAGGCTAGCTGTTAGAAATTGTTGCCATTATTGATGAAAATAGGCAAGAAAAAGAATGTTATGACAGAACTTAAAAAAACAGAAAACAATTTTGTAAAGTAATTAATTACTGCAGAAAACTTCTGAATTTCTGAAAAAGATTACACTATCCCTGTGCAAAAACATGACTGTTAGGTTAATTGGCCTAAGCATGCATGCTTAGGGTTGTCTTGTGTGTTTCTGTGTTGCTCTGCAGTGGACGAGGTAACCTGTCCAGGATGCAGCTCACCTTTTGCCCTTTTCCCTCTAGGTTTAAGCACCAGCCTCCAGCAACCGTCACAATTCAGTAGATATAGGCAAACGGATGGATGCATATTTTTCACAGTGTTCTACTGAGTAATTTATTGAAAAAAAAAGATAATTAATTGAATCAGCCAACCTTTGCCTCCTTAGCATCCCGATGGCATTTTACATACAAATAAAGTGTAAACAGCTTTAGAAAACTCTGACCTTTCTCCATTACATTTGATGATACCTGCGGCTGAACCACCTCTTAATAAACGACCTAAATAAGCTCAACCACTGAGAAGGTCAGACTGTCAGATTGTGGTTTTAAAAGCCTGCTGTGGTATTATTTGTTCTCCGGAGTACGGAGGAGGTCATTAAAGTAAGGCAAACATCTCATTTCAGTCTGGCAACTAAAATTAAATAAAATATCAAGGTGGATTGTGCACTGGGTCATTATTTGGTCTGGAGATGCCTTTCGAAATTAGTAAAATTAGCAATGATGGCTGATTCAAGTGCGTACAGACTGTTATATGCATCAGAAATGGGTTGCAGATAAAGCACTCTGAGAATATTTTAAAACTCCAACAACTTTTTTTTTGATCATACTGTTTTATGGTTTAAATTGCTTTTGGCAGAGAACAGGCTGGAGTGACCAGTTCTCTTTAGAGAAGTGAGAGAGGCAGTGGCCATCCTCCACCGGTTGTGGCGCCCAGGCAGGCAAACTTGAGGGCTACTACTATTTCTTTCCTTGTACAATACAAACAATATTTAAGTCATGGAAAACAGCTCTGGCGAAAACATTAAAATAGCAGGACTAGCGAGTCTTATTAAACTAACAGAAGAGAAATTGTAAGTACCATAAGCCATAAGATGACTGTGGGCTGGTCATCTCAGCAGATTTAACCAATTAACAACACAAATGCCTCGTGATAAATAACTTATTCTGTCCTTTTTTGGTGCCAAACTGCTTTTGTGCAAATGCTTTTATCATTTCCCCTGAGCTTTTCAAAAATACAAATATTTGCAAAGCCTAAACTCCCGAAGCGTTCAGAGGCTAATATAAGACAAAAAGAAATGTAAATCTATCTTGCTTCTCATTATTTTCAGAGTTCATTACACTTATTAGACCCATTTAAAATTTATAACAAATCTGAAACTTTGTAAATACTTGTTTGCGAGAAAAAGAATCTTGTATTTACTGCTTCTGGGAATGCAAATGCAGTCTGCGGTGACAGGAAGTTTTGTGCGTTATGCAAAATTAATGAAGACGTTGAAAAAGGTTTGCTTTACATCTCACAGGAAGCAAAAGTGAACCTCCAACGCTGGATTTCAGCAGCTCAAATGCTGTTTACAGTTGTAATACACACGGCTAAGTTCGAATTCATTGAAGCCTGAAAATGTTGAAAGGAATTTCTTCACAGCCGGGTTTGAGCAGAACTATTTCGATGTGTGATTCTGGGGAAAAATAGTAAAAACCAGTTGAGAAGCTGCTGGTGACGGAACAGGGAGAGGAAGGAGACTGTGAGGCTAACCACAAACCAGAGGCAAAACAAAACACCTGCAGCATGAGGATATATTTATTTTGGCAGAGTTTTCCCCTCTGGAATGAACATTACACCAGGGAAGAGTTTAACTCAGGAAGAAAAAGAGTGTGCTCTAAGTGGTAGCTGTAACTTTTTACGATTTCTTTTTTACCTGTAACTACTGTGTCAAAAGGGAAATAATGAAGGTGCTTTAGCTTCTTCTCCCATGAACAGAGCAACTAAAATTGCTGTGCAAATATTGATATTTACATTTACTTGTAGGGAGAATCTACAATAGCGTTCTATATGCCAACCTTAAATTATGTTAAGGGAGAAATTAATCATGTAGCCCAGATTTAACAATAAAGCCATATGAGAAGAAAATAAATAAAGGGTTACTAAAATTTCTCCTGTGTAATGTTTAACAAAATATTGTGAAGTTCAGAAATGTGCAAAAATGTTAAATGTTACAAAACCTGTAAAAGGCATTTGAAGAGGAAAATAAGCAGCTTCTAGACTTCAGTCGGTGATATTTTTGCAATTCGGTAGCTTTGTATCTGCCCACTTATTAAAACAGGGACACACTGACTTATGAGCAAGAATAATTTGATCTGGAGCTGTAATTACATTGTAGAAGTGATATCGTTTAATAGTTCTGGAAATTGGAGATTGGACATCACACAATAAAGAAAAATGTTACACTTTCTTCAGGAGGAAGACTACACTTTATGATGTCCCAGTTGTTATCAATCAAAGGCAACCCTAAACAGGTGGGTTTTGTGGTTTTCTAGATGTTTGTTCCAGATTTATGGAGCATAGAAGCTGAATGTTGCTTCTCCATGCTTGGTTCTGGCTCTGTGGATGGAAAAGCAGACCAGAACCAAAAGCCCTGCTTGAATTAACTTAAATTAATGGCTTCCTAACACTTACCTTGCAGTTTCTTTGCAAAGCAGTAGACATCAAACAGCTCATCAGGAGCCCTATTGCCATAATTACGAACACCGGGCGAGTCCTCCCGATCACCATAGCAGCCGGGCCGAGGTGACTGGATGGGGTACCTGCAGAGGAAACCAAGTGGAAGGAGCAAACACCGAGAGGGTTAAAGAAGAAAGAGCAAGATTTATATGGCTTGGCCATGAAAAAAAGCAGCAGCAGACAGACCGAGTCCCCCAGGGATGGGTCCATGCTCCTGAGTAGAAGATGAAAACCCAGCAACACTTTTATCATTTTCTGCTCTGAATACAGTAAGTTTAAAGACATCTTCCCAGGAAAAAAAAAATAAAAATCCAGAACCCTGGCACTGAAAAAAGTAAAATCCATGTCCTGCCAAAAGCAGGATGTACACTGTATATTCCCTTAACTCTTTTTAATTGTTTTGTTTTCAGCTATATTTTACTTTCAAGTTATGCATAAACTGTTGTGATACATTTCATTAGGCAGAAGCAGAGAAACGGTGAGAGAAAGAGAGGCGAGAAGCAAAGAAGAGGGTGAAACAATCAGTAATTCCTTCAGTGACTTGGAATGCCTGAACAGCAGAAAGAAACAATGATCCATATCGGGGCCAAACTTTTACTCTTATTCCTCCAGAACATTGATTTCAGTGGCACCGGGACATGAAAGAAGCTGATTAAAAGATTGCAATAGGTATACAAGAAGAGTGTTCAGCTGTGTGGCTGAACAAACAACAATGGCTTTCTTTGTGTTTTTCTTCTTGGATTAATTGGACTCCTCCCTCGTGGCTGATGTGCCATCAGAAACTCTTGAATCTGGACCAATTAGATAGCTACCAAGTAAAAACAACAAGGCTGCAGGACAGAAGAAACAACTGGGAGGAAGAAAGTGTCAGTGCAAGGATGTGAAGAAGCTGTCAGGAGGACAACAAACAGCATGTCAGCCCGCTGAAGCAACAGTGATTTGGAATTTAAATGGAGATACGGGGAATTAGACAAGATCTCTTTGAGAGTTTTTTTTTTTTCTTCATGGGATTTAATAGAAAATGGTAAAATAAAAGCACATGCGAGCCTCCTTACAGGCACCTCTAATGGTGCAGATGTAACTAACTCATTTTCCAGTCACCAGACAAGCAATCACCGTTTCAATTCTGTTGCATAGTTTTAATTTAGAATTCACATATTTTGACAAGATAAGAAGCAAAGCCACTTGGAAGTTCTTAAAATATTCACTTACTGCAGAAAGCCTCGTAACTGAACTGATAGTCAGATATAGCTGTCGTGTGCATGAACAGCATTCTATTCAGCCACTTGGATTCCAGACAATCGTATATCTGGCTACATTTTCGCCAAAGGAGAAGAAACAAAAAAAGACAATGCTGCAGAGAGACTAAAGTATTTTTATTCCCGTACTTATACAAACGTGTACAACACCTAAATACTCTTCTTGTACTATTCCATTTCCATATTTTTTGAAACTCTGTATTGGAGAGGAAATCTTTTTGCCTCACCTTACAGTCTGGTCTGCCAGCCAGCCTGCGTCACAGTTCTCGTAGCCATCGGCGAAAGTTGACTGCAGCTGGCCGGGTGTTGCAATGGTAGCCGAGTTCTCTATGCAGACCCTCTTGGCATCAGCAAAGGACAAGGCGTAGCGATCGTGAGGGGCCCGGTAGTGGAACACTACACCTAAGATATAAACAAAGATAAGGTTTTAAAATCATTATAATGACTCCCTGTGAGTCTCAGAATATAGTTTAAATTTATTTTAGTGACTTTTAAAGGAATCCTTTCTTGCAGAGCAGCTACTAAGTTACAAACCTGTGAGGTTCTCAGGCATTGGTCTATTAACGGGCCCAAGAATACTTAAGGAAATACTTCTCTCCAGTATTACGACAGCCATCTGTGGAATAGTATGCTCTCTGAGTGCCACACCTTTTGGCTGCAGTTCCTGATCCGCGCTCAGTCCATCCACTTTCCACACATTTCAAAAAGCAACATTCCATTTTGTGGGTTTATAGTTTTTAGTTCTGTGGGGTACTCTGACCTGCATTTAGTAGGAAGGGTGCTTTATAAATAAAAGTGACTGATTGATGGATGAGACACAAGACACTAGAACAAGCAGGGAGGCTGCGCCAGAAACCAATACAAATTTACGGCCTGCGCCCTGCAAATCTCAGCACGTTTTATGAACAGCAACCTCGCGCCATTAAAGCACGATCACGTTCATCCGTGGAGGTAAACAATGGAGCCCTCTAGCTCTAGTCATCATGTGTTGACATTGTTCCATCTGTGCAGGACAATCCAGCAGAGCTGGGGTTCAGCAACCTGTGTGTACTGTACGTGTCTCTGGTTTACATCAGGTCGTCCATTGGCTCAATAAAAAAAGAAACTAAAAAGAGAAACATATGTTGCCCTTGGATACAATGTGCGTGTGTGTGTAGGTGTTTGTGTGTGTGTTACAAGCAGTGGGGATATTCATTTTACTGCTTTAGCTCTACAGAGTCCAAGTGCTAAATTTTGCCTGCTTCTCAGTTCATGGTGGAATGACAAGCAAGGCAAACAAAGAAACAGAGCAACAATGTTTTCTATAAACTGGCAACCCTGCCAGGGTGTAAAATCCCCGTCACTCAGCGGCTGCTGGATGGAGGTACCATCAGCGCTGTCAGGTCGCATATTAAAGTTAGATGCATAGACGGAAAGCTTTCAGCAGGTATGTGTATTGAATTTTTAAAGACAGTGACTCTTTAGCATCTTTACGACAAGTGTCACATTAGTATTGCATTCTGTTCTCTTCAAATCAAACTAGCAAAGTTAAAAGTTTCACAGTCAGAATTTCACATTTCAGGTTGGAAAATCAAATTGGCTGCCTTGCATATAAGACATAGGGATATTTACTGTGAAAAGAAAAACATAATGTATTCAGACTTAGATCTTTTAGCCACTGATATATTCAACCATATGTGGGAATACAAATCAGAGAAATGCATATTTAGTCTGGTCACACTGAGCACATCCATTTGAAAAACCCACAAATTATAACCTTTGAACTGAAGAAGAGTTTCTTAAATCAACATGAGTTATTTCATGATAAACAAGGTATGATTTCTGTGGTGGAAGCTCCCACCACAGAAATCATATGTTGATTTCTTTACATTACTTACAGCTTATAGTCTAAGTTAGTTATTTCATTTAGACATATATTTTCTAAGACATGGGTGCACATTTTAGTTAATGTCCGTCTTATAATGACTGTTATGAAAGTGTAAGCTGATTGGCAAACTGTTCTTTAAAAAAAAGATAACATAAGGTGATTACTTTTTCTTAAAACTATGACACTGTTAAATTGTAGTAAGAATGAGAGCAAGCAGTCAGAGTACTATCATCAGAGCTTGCACCACAGTTTGTGAACCAAGGCTTCAGGGTACACACGAATGCTGAAAAAGGGTGGTGAGAAAATGAAATTGACTAGAAGAAACTAGCTTAGCTGAACTGTGAAAGGTCCACATGTCCGTCTACCAATCTCTGCCTGACATTCACGCGCCCCTGAGGACCATCCAGTGGCATGCAAGCCTGTGTGCTTCTGCCTCTTTTATCCTCTATGACTTTGTCTGGGAAAGTGAGAGATTCCTTGTTAGACGGATGCCAAAGAGGCAATTTAAGTATAAGAAAAACAGTTCAGGCTTTAGTGTGAAAAAGCTGGCACCAGTGTTTTGAACATAAGATGCAAACAGAATTCTCCTCGGTCTCTGCAGACTATCTGGCTTTTCGGTCATTCTCCTTCTCTGAGCTATATGGAGCATAAACCCTCTGAAATGTCTCCATTTTTTCTTGCCCTTATTTTCATCCTCCATTCCTTTGATTTGAGGCTGTGGGACTTTGTCCAAACAGAGATGCTCGTTAACTCATTAATATGGATGCAGGAGGAGACAAATACCTTTCCTCTAAGTAAGAGGAAACCCTGTCCTGGTCTCCAGGACCGTTGAATGCCCAGCACCTTATGACTATTTTTACCCTCAGCATCTTTGCACATCCTCACACGGTCTCTAGGGCAAAAAGCAGAGAGGCACCATATGTGACTGAATGATGCCCTCATTTTTGCATGGCGAGTAGCTGGTACTCTTGGCCCCCTGGCAGGGTGCAGCGTACTAGACAAACTCTTTCTGTCATTGTTACACAAAAAAAAACTATATTAATTTGTGGAAGCAGTAAAAGCACACGCAGCAAACAAAATTTCTTGATAAATTTTAGAGTTGTATTTAAAGCGGCTCAAACTATTATGGAGCATAGTACAAATATATTCAGAAAACATTTCTGAATTACATAATCTCTGCCTCTTGACTTATGTTAGTTGCATGTAGCCACTTACAAATCTAAAATGGATAAGTCTTGTAAAGCAAATATATGAATAAGTAATCACAATTGCTTTTTTCAGGGCTGACACACCATCTCAGTCTGTGACATGATGTCATATGTTAGCGCTATTCATGTAGCTGTTGGGCTGCAGCCGAGAAACACGACGGTTTAGCCCATCAGGACATGGGAAAAGCAAACATGGCACTAGAAGCAAAGAGGACAGAGGCAATCAGAGAGCGATAGAATGAAGAAAGTGGAGATTAAAAAATAAAGCCCAGTTCTGAGAGTGAAATGAGTGGTATGGAGTATTATGTAATGAACTAGCCGAGCAGTATCAATATTTGCAAATGACCAATTTGATACCTGAACAGAATTAGGGAGAAGGTCACGTCACGTCGCAGGACTTGCCAATAAAGACTAAACGGCAGAGACAGTTGCTCCTCACTGGCTTCATAAACGGCTTCATTCTGAACGAGTGGCATTGATTGGCCAAGAGTTGCAGGACACAGGCTCTCAGAAGCATCATATTAGGGCTAATGAAGACGCTGCTTCATTTTCAGCTCTATATCCGTCAGACAAAACCTCGAGAAATAAAAAACAGATAAGACACAGTTGCCTGATTTTGCTGTATTGTAGTTGCAAATATTCCCTTAAGAGTAATTTACAGACAAGGAGAAAATGATGTTTGTGTTACTTAAAACAGTGGCTAGTGTAGCATGCTGCGCCTCTCAAAAATAATAAGGTCACTGCATTTAGAGCTGATGTTGGCTATTTTTATGCAAGCAAAGTTTGCTCCAAGGTGTGCGGTTGCTCTGGTGATTATAGAAACTTGCCATTAAACCTAAATGTGAGAGAACTGGACATAATGTGGCGACAGCTTTATAGCTACAACACCTTAGCAAAGTCTTTGAAACTCTCCCAGCTATTATTAGGTAATTTGTCACCAACGAAACATACAAAGCTAAAGGTGAAGAACTAGTAGTACTTAAATAACTCGGTGGGATAATGTTTAATGTTTCCAAGGGCCTTTCACCATTTCCCTTCTTCATGACAGGGACAGCGAACAGCTGCAAAGGCTGCCTTAACATGACATGGAAAACAAAGTTATTAGTATTCATAGTTGCAGATGTGGAAGACAAAGTGTTAACACAGCCACCGAATGCAGCAGAGCTTTTGATAAGGAATGTTTTCTACAGATGAAATCAAATTTCCTCAGGAAATACTCAGTGGTTTCAAATACTCGTCACAGACAACTGCTGAGAAAATATGCTGAAAATTGTTCCAGGATTACACAGAATGCCAGATGTTGAGATAATCACACAAAATCCAGTGCACACGTGGTGATTGCATGGTTTAGGAAGCACAGAAGCTAATGAACTGTTAATAGATTATAATAGAAACAGTTAAAATTCATTCCACAAAAAAATCCATGAATTCATGAATACTGAACTGCAAATAGGCAGAGGTCCACTGTGTTCCCAAAGGTCTGAACACCTGACTTTATATATTAATGAACTTTAATAAAATTCCAGTCTTGACACTTAGGATTAAAGAGCTTAAAGATTTGAATCCCCCTTGCAGCGATAAGAGCAGTCTGCATGCCTTTGTACATCTGTGGCCATGGAAGTGATGAGAACAACCGAATTCAATAATTTGGAAGAGGGTCTCTGTACTTTTGAAAATCTAATGTTAATTGAAGATTTTATACCTCAAACTGGTATTTTAATAAACCCAACATTGGAGCCAACTCTTTATTTAGTGTAGCCATAATAAAACTAAGGCTCTGTTTACACAGAGCTGATTTTCAGTGAAAAAGTTAATGATGAGACATCTGACGCTTGTGTTGTCCAGCTGAAAGCCGTGCGACCGAACACAAACAATACCTCACATTGCATTGGACATGTCATCGCTTTATTGTGCGTGTTTCTTTTCCAAATAAAACTGCGATGAATCGTACTGCTTTGAGACATGAGGAGAGTATTTGTTATCAGCAGCGGCTGAAACAAAACTGAGAAAAACAAAAAAGAGCAAAACCTCCCCCATCTAGGAATACTTTGAGAATTATGCTGAAAAATAATTAGCCACATTTCCACCATGTTTCCCCCAAATACTCACCCTGCAGAAATTTTATAGAAATTTTCGCTATTATTTGCAGTTTGATTAGCAAAAATATATCAATCTCAAACTTAACACAGCAGGAAGAGTAAACCTCTGTGTGTAACAGCTGAAATTCCCAATAAACGAGAATTGAGAAGAATTTTAGTTTTTCAGGAACCAAGTCAAAACACAAATAATACTATCAAGCCCAACAAGCACAGCATCCCCAAGAAACTAACCCACCAAATGACCTTATTGTCAAATCAATCTATGACGTAAGAGAAAACAAAACGATTGAGTCTCTAATGCTGGCACTTTTGAAACCTGGTGTCAGACGGAACCTTTTTGTGAACACAGTCTGTGGAGTTGTGAGATTATCCACAGATGTGAAAGTTTACATGCGCATAACGCACAGACACTGGATTTGTTTCACATGCCTGGGTGGATAATAACAAAAACAATGACTGGTAGCATTGTGCTTTGTGTGCTACTTAATGTGTTCAGTTTAGCACAAAATCTGATGAGCGATTGTGAGTTATACGAGTACTTGGCTTGCAGGAGCGTTTTCTAAATGAAGTGGAAGCTAAGGGTAAAACATCCACGCACGTTTCGATAACTTGCTGAAATCACAGCGCCATATAGTGGCCTGGCATGACAACTGCAGCTGACGCAAGGTGGTCTTGTTTAAACACGGAATGTTTCTCCAATCATCATCCAAAAGTTCTCACTGTTCCCAGACAGTGATCTTATATAAACACAGCCCAAGTCGATGCAAGTGCAAAAATTTTACTTTGAACAAAAAAGGTACTTTAAAATGAGGTAGCGTTTATACAGGAATCAGTGAGGACTTTGCTGTGCAAAGTCCTCACTGATCCTCTCTGAGTATCTGGGTTGATGACTAATTATGATTAATCAATTAAACAATTATAAATATCCAAAGAAATTACAGCTGCCGTAAATCAGCACCCTGTCTCTTGTTGAAGGCAGTCCTATCGATCAAGCTGCTGTATGTGAGACATCTAATTAATTTTGAAAGCAAAATCTTACAAACAGCAGCAAATGGAGGCTCAGAGAGCCTTTTAGTCCTGGCAAGATGTTGAACTGTTAGGCTCAAGGATACAGAATTGATTATTCCTTTTATTCATAGCTTTTACAAACATTTTGATTTTTGGCTTAAGAATAAACTCAAGTTTGAGCATATTCTGTAATCTAATGCTCTTTGTGTTTGATATTAGTACGAGCTAGTCATTTTGATATTATGTGTACAAAGTTATTTTAAGAAAAGTCAATAGACAGAGAAGAAACTAGAGTTAAATACATGGAGAATTTGCTTAATTGATTAAATTATAAGTGAGTGAAAATGACAGTGAAGCTGGTATGAGCCTTAAGACTTTGATCTTGTACTTTTTTATGACACAGTCTTGTTCTGTTCAAATGGTGTCACCAAAAACAATTTACTGTTGTACAAGTACAAAAAAATAAATATATAGTCACAATTACATGCAGTTTCACAAATCCTGGAAAAGTCTTGGACTAGAACCACAAGCTTCTCATATTTTTTTGTCATGATTTTTAAAATTCTTTCCTCTTATGATAAATTTTGTTCAATTTATTATATCAGTGCCAAATTGGAACAAATGTCTCTCAAAGCACTTTTTGAGAACCACATGTCCAGTTCGAGTCCAGTTTTATAGGTCAAAACAGAAATTTACTTTTTTTGTGTTTCCCTTAGATCTGATCAGTGTGAAAAGAGCAATTTCATAAAAGTTTGCTATTGTATTTTCTGTTTATTTCAACCTCTTGATCACAGCAATCTACAAACAACTGTTCAAATATAGGTAACGCTTTGTTTACCTGTGACCTCCAGTGGAACGGTGTCCTGCTCATCGTTGATCCCCACCACAACTTCACAGCGATAAAGTCCAGAGTCGCTGGACCGCAACCCAGTCAGTGCAAGGCTGGCATTGTAGCGGTCCTTACTGTACCCGGGCAGTGACACACGACCCTGGAAGGCCTTTTTCACCTAAAGAGTGAATAAAAAAAGAAGAGACGATGATAACAGTGGAGCAAGACAGTGAAAATCCAGCAAAGTTATTCATATTTGATGGTCACTGCTATACCTTGACCACATTGTCTTTGGCCACCAGGACCGACTGCTCCTTCTGCAGGCCGTCGGAGCCTCTCTGACCCCAAACCTTGGTCCATTTGATCCTGGGGGGCTCGGAGAAGGAGCTGGCACCAGGGCGAAGGGTGAAGAGGCAAGGGAGCAGCACCGTCTTGGACAGCTCCTCTGTAATGGTCTGATGAGTCACCTTCCGCATATTCACCATAGTGTCAGCACTGGTTAAACCTGAGGAGAGCAGAGGTAAAAGGGAAGAGAGAAGTAGTGAGATTAATCAATTTGCTCTTGTAAATGTGACCACTGAATGCTATTCCTGATTACTCTGAAAAGGTTTCCGTTAATTGATTCCCGTGGCCAAAACCTGTGATTTCCTTCCAGTTTCTTTAGTTCCATTATGAGCCTCCTGTTTGTGGAGTGAAAGCAAAATAGTCAGAAACTCGTTGAATGTCTTTGACGATTGTCAGTGATCTAGCAGAGCATTATTGTTGCAGCTGACAGAATAAGTCAGTGAATAGGGAAAATGTCAAACATGCTTGATAACCCCTTGAATATGCATCACAAAATCAATACCAAACACCTCCTTGCCATTTAAAGCATTGCCTCCAAGAAAAAGGTGTTAGTCATAATATAACTATTAACAAGATATTTGTCTGATATTTGCTTTTACAACACATATGATACATTATCCAAATCCTCTAATGCCTTGTTTGAAATAAAAGAGTTGCATCATTTGAGTTGCATCATTTGCATTGCAGAGGTGAACACCTTAGAAAATCGCATCTAACCTCTGATCCATATGTGCTTGTATATATCCAACACACACACACTGATTCTTTTCTTCTTTTTTTTGCTCCCTTATTTTTTTCTGTTCTCTTTCCTGTTACACTTAAGAGCAACATAAAAAAAGGCACTTTCTCTAAATTAAGTCTCCATGAACCCCAATGGCGGTAAATGCATGTTGAATCGGCTGACCAAGTTGTTAGCCACGCTGCTAGAGGCAGACGTGTCACTCAGCAGAGCGCTTTGGTAAAATCCTCACTTGCAGACTGACACACTGCTCAGATGATCCCAAAGTTACAAATTGATTAAAGTGCTGTCTGTTGTAGCTTGGTCAACCTCAGGTAGACAATTTAGTTTCGGTGGATGAATCTCAAAACACCTGTTTCAACAGCTGCTGCAGACTAAAGATGTAACAGGATGAAAATGCTAACATTATCCTTATTTTATCAAGTTTTGTTGAGGTCTAATAAATGACATTTTAGTTGTTGCATACGTTAGATACTCTCTGACCTTAAATGTAGCGGCATTTTCAGTTTGACTCTATTTATATTGGCTATTTTAAAGAGAAGTCAACAGAGTCAAGCACAAAAACAAACATTCAAAATACAGCAAAGTATAAAAAAAAGAAAAGTAAGAAAATCTCAGAACAGGTTTCAGATTTTGAGGGAATGTATAACTTCGACATGGTGATGCTTTCATTGCGTCTTTCTACAACAACTTTGCAGGTTGCCTGAATTTGTTCCAAACATCCAGCAGCCCTCCAGGCTGAGTTCACACTCCCCAGGCAGGCAACGTCTCAATGAGCCACAGCTGGCAATTCTTTTTGGCCCAGAGAGACAAAAGGAAATAAAAGGACCGCAAAAAGAAACAAGCAAAAATGAAGAAATGAGCCAAAATATTCTAAACAGCAGATCCTGAACAGCTGAATTGAAACAACTAATTTCTGTTTTCATTAGAGCAGAGTTCTGTAGCAATCTTTTTTTTATTATTTTAATAAATAACCTTAGGGTTATATGTTCATTTAAAAACATTCCACTGGTCTCTCATGAAATTATATTGTCACATTGAATAAATATCAGAACAAAAACTGGGTCTGTGTCGTAAAGACCCTTCAGACATGATTTGTTGAGAAATGGTGCTGCACACATAAATGGAATCGAAAGTGAATTTCAACATCCGTCCAGAATCAACAAAATCACACCCTTTCATTGTCCTTTGCAGTCAGCTGGCAAATGGTTAAATCTATACTTGTTCCACAGAAAAGGGATCCAGCTTTCTGTTGTTGTTCTTCACGGTCAAAATAATTCAAATTCAATCGTGAATCTGTCAAAAAATAAGGCATCCCAGATACTTGCTGTCACAATCTCCCTGGCTTTGAGCCCCTCATCAGACAGTCTCATTGTGACAGCGGCCCTCACCGTGTTTGCCTCGCTCCGTCTTTTTTACATCCCAGTTAACATCTCTGACAGCTGGGTTATTCTCACAGGAGTGGTGTTGGAGCAGAAGCTGTCTGTCATAACTTCTACCCTTCTTTACAGCAAAGGGGAAACTTTGTTTTTCTTTTCTTAGTTTTCCAATTGTTTTAGAGGCAAAGAGAGGCGTGTGCTGCTCTAATTTTCATTGTTTCTTTAATTCGGGTCTTCATTTCTTTGATTTTTCATTTCTTTGATTTTTCTTAAACTCCCTGTGGCTTTCCTTGTTTCATTCTTTGACGATTCCAAATCTTTACCTTGCCATGCAAATTTGTCACGTCATGTCAAGGTGCAACAAGAAACAAACTTTGATGCATTTTATTTCTATTTCAAACCAATTTAGCTTCCAATTCTGAAGTTACTTAAAAAGTACTTATAGTTTTCAAATTTGTTTTGCAAATCTGCAAAAAGTGTCGCACACATTTGTTTTCGTCCTACTGATTCCCTTGATTGAATTCTAGAGCAAAGCATTACCTATTGAACTATTGATAATAAATAGACTCCTCCTTTGAGTGATTTAATCTCTGTTTAAGCGCAGCTGTTCTGAGAAGGCCTAAGAACAGCTGAGGTCCCACATTTAAAGTCCAACCATTAAATGTCAACTTCCATAAAGAAGGGAGCGACTACTGAAAGAAAGGCAAAATAAATTGCGTTAAAGTTGATTCAGGTTGATGCAAAAATCTATAATAGGAAACCAACAATGTGAACAAACCTTTCCCATGTTGCAGCATGATGGAGGTAAAATGATCATATTCTTTTCTTCAGCAGTTACATGGTGAAAATGTGTCAAAGTTGTTTGCAAAATGAAATCAGCGCAACGCTGAAACCAAAGTTGTGTGAGTCATCCAGACCTAACCACAAACAATCCCAACCACCAATTTTTGTCTGGATATTTAGTTTTGAAGGAAGCCGATGAACATTTATGAAGTCTGTTGATTAAAAGTGAAACACAGATGATGGTGGACGACCATGAAGAAAAAGAGCCCACTGTTCTATTTCCATTATTGCTACCGTCAACTACAAACTATTTATTTGTCCTTCTGCAGACTCACTTGATTCAATGCATGTTAAAGCGTTACTCCCAACAGGGTCAGCCTGTCCTGTCTGTAATTAAATGTCAGATTGTTTAAACAGTAAACTTGCAGCAATCACAGACACACTGCTGTTTTGTCATTTTGCCCCCCGTGTCCTGCTTATTCTCTTCTCTCTATTCATTCCCTACAATTTGGGCAACATGCCAGTTTTAAAACCCATTGTTTCAATTCATCTTTTTTTTCTCTCTCTATTTTCTTTTCATCTTTGCAAGACAGATTTACTTTTTCAATTGTCCTTGTTGAAAAGATACATTTACATTAGAAAATCACATGATGGGAACACTGCAAGAGAAGGCATGGATGCTTTCATGTTTTTGTTTCTCGATATTTTTTTCACAAGTTATCATCTCCCTGACAATCCTTAAATCAAATTTATTGTTTGTATGAACATCTGAAAACTTAAATATTTCTTATCTCCTACAAACCACTGAGTTAAAGTAACTTATGTTTGGAGCAGCTTTAGTTCTTCTAAATAATACCAGAGAGAAATTGTTTTGGAAAGCCACACATTATTTTCGTAAATAAATATTGTCTAATGAAAATCTTAAACTTGTTGAACATGTTTCTCCTCTAGGTTTGCAAATATATATTGCCATTCTTTTTGTTTTTGAATCTTGAAAACTACAGGGCTGCATGTATGCTGTGGTTGTACATGTCCAACAACTGGATGACCAAAGACTGCAGTGATTGACTCAGAGCAATGACTTCAGATGACGAATGGGAGCTGAATCACTTCAGATTTAAATGTGTTTTTATGATCCAGCTTTCCTCAACAGATTCCATAGGCTGCATGACTTTACATCACGGATTATATGTATCACAGGGGAAAAAAACAATCCAAACCAACCTACGTCTAAGTAAGATAAAAAAAAAAAGTGATTGCCTACTAAGCCAAGTGACTGGGTGTTCCACCTTTGGGAGCAACATCTTTCACCAAGTGTTTTACAGACCTGACAAATAAAGTGTAACAGGTCTGTAAAACATTTTGGTTTTTCTGTGGAAAACAAAGACAGCCCCTCTCTTCTTTGAGGAATTGCTTTAACTCAGTATGTAAGTTTTTAAGCATTGATTTTAAGGTCAGGCTTCTGCACTCCCAAACATATTTAAGCCCAGACTCTGAAATCTTTAAGCTATTCTCCAGCAAACTTGCTGGTATGCTTCAGATCCTGGTCCTTCTGCATGACCCAGGAGAGCTGGAGCTCAAGTCTGATTAGTTCACAGAATGTTTTCCAAAAAGTCTTGGGCTTGTCAATTTATTTTCTTGCAATTGTGAAAGGGACATTTTTGTTCCTTTAGTTATTTTCTCTCCTGTGAAAGGCATTTATCCTGCTCTCTTTCTTATTGTACCATGATGAACTCTGACCTTAACTGAGGGACGTGAGGCCGGCAGCTCAGATGTTGCTGTTGTTTTTGTGAGCTACTGAGTAAGATGATTCGCCACTCTTCCATATTTTATACTTTTGTGAATAATTGCTCTCACTCTGGTTTGCTAGAGTCCGAAAGTCCTAAAAATGAAACTCTGTCGCCCTTTTGGATGTTAGTGACTTTGATGCGTTTGGAGCCCTGTTAACCTGCTTCATGTTATGCTACTTTCATCTCAGTAATTTATTGTTTACATAGGCCTGCAGGCAATCAGTAATATAACCTGAGCGCATGTATTTATTCATCAGCTCATATTTTTCTGACATTAAAATTTGGTTGATTTTCTGAAACATTTAGATGTGACACTCAAACAAAAACAGAAGAAATTTCACTTTTTGACAAAAATTTGACAAATCTTTAGCAACATATTGAAGTTTTTGTATATATTTTCACATTTGACAGCATTAGATTGTGTGAACGTACAGTAATCATGTGTCATCCCAGCACATTGCTTTTTGGC